TAGATCTATTTCCCCATCCTCATATATAAATATATTTACATATGTACATGCCTTTATTTAAACCTCTATAAATGCCCTTTGCCTGCTAGCTCTTTCCTCTATTTCCTTTGACTTTCCTCTTGTCTTACTATCATGCTCGGTCTTCATTTGGGTTTCAGTAATTCCTCTTGGTTACATTACCCTTGATCATATCCTACCAGGCCTCTGACACCCTCCTCACCACAGATTTGGATTACTTTTTGCTCCCTTGTCCCTGGGTTTGTTAACACCACTACCTTTCCCCCCACCTCCCCCTCTCCTGTGTCCCCCGGAACTATCAGTCCTGTTGATTTCTCCTCCAGATTGTTCATCCAGCCTATCTTATTTAGACAGACCTCAGATGCTATATTTTTTTGATAGCCGGGCACCATCCACTTTCTTCACCCATTTGCTTATGCACTTATTTTTCTTCAGCAATCTTGTAGGAGGGTGAGCATCACAGAATGCCAGGTGGTTAGAACAAAGTGCTCTTACACTGAGGGAAGCCTTGAGCAGCCGCCCAAAGTCGTTCCGTCCACTTTCTCAATGTATTGACATTTAATATATGTACCTGTTCCAATACCTCTATATTTATGAATTAATATATTTACCTAAGTGCACATCTATGTTTGTACCTCTATCCATAGCTTTGCTTCCTAGATATTTTCTCTCTTTCCTTTTACCTTTCCCACCATCATGCTCACCCTTCTTCATCTTGGTAATTCCTCTCAGCTAGATTGCTTTTGCTCCAACACCCCCAGGATCTCTACATCCTCCTTGTTGTTTATTTTAATTCCTTAGTTGTTCCCCTATCTATGGCATTGTTTGCTCACTGCTCACTTCTCCACCTCCTCCTCGCCCTAAGTCCCTCCAGAACCTTCAGTCCCGTTGGTTTCTCCTCGGGCTTGCTTCCCATGCCTATTTTATATAGATAGGCAAACCCAGAATAACGTAGACAATACAAAAAGAAAACAAAAAATTGAATAAAAAGGGGAAAAGTAGAAAAAATAAAAATAATAGTAACTAACCCCCCCAAAATCCTAAAACATAGATAATTCCAGGCCTGTCTGCTGACCTTTTCCCCACTGGTCCTGGGGGTTCAGGGAACTGCCCCTCCTAGCCTGAAGTTTATTTAGGGGACTTCTCAGGGGCTTTGTGGCTTGGATATGCTCCTGTTGCTGATCTGTTATGTTCCCTTCTTGGTTCTCCCCACTGTGGTGGTTTCTTACTGGAATCACTCCCTATCATGTGTCCCCAATATTATCCTCTATTGTGGTATGCTCCATCGATGGGTCATCATGTCTCTAGCTGTTGTTGGCCCTACAGTCTTCTCTGTGCCTTAGCAGCTCCTTGTAGGGATGTTGTCCTTAGGGCTTGGTGTGCCAGTATGGGGTGTAGACCCTCACTCTGCTTTCATGTGGGTGTGGCATGCCAGCCCCTCTCCCCAACCTGTAAGTTTAGTGTTGTCCTTTGTGGCACATACTTATAGGGAGGGGTCAGTTTGACTGATTGGGGCTGGCCCTGTAGCCCACTCTGTTCATCCATTGCTCCATGTGGTTATGTTGCCCTCAAGGTTTTGTGCGCTGTGGTGGTGTCTGCATGCACACTCCTAATTCTGTGGACATAAAACCAATACTATACCCCTGGGTGGGTTACTACCCTGCTCCCCCAGTGTCCAAGGCTGTAATTTTTATGGAAGCAAATTGCTACAGCTTTTGTGGAGTGGCTGGTGGGCTCTAGCCACTGACCTTTTGGTTATCATTTGCGTGTTTAACTATTGTGCTAACAGGTTAGTAAAAAAACCAAAAAAACCCCCAAACTCCATGCCATTAAGTCTATTCTGACATAGCTCCTTATGGAGGATTGCCAAGGCTGTAGTGGTTACGGTAGCAGGTAGCCTAATCTTTTCTCCCAACCAGTTAGTATATGAGTGCAGATTATTTGTGCCATCCAGGCAACTTGTGATGTAAGACAGAGTTGTTGAATATCCTAGTGTAACATATTTAGATAATGCAATGGAATTGTAGAGGTTAAGAAGTCATGACAGTTTGGGTTTAATCTGGATGAAGGTGGTTAGTGTGTAGGGGGATTAAAAACTGTTCAGGATCAGAGGTTGAATGATGCCCATGATTCAAAAGAATTAACAAACTGTAGAAGGTTGGGAAAGAAAGGCCAATTTTACAGGAAACTAATGAATGATAATTTCAATTTATGAGTTTGAGTCAGGTGAAACAGGATTTGAGCAGAGGAAGGTGCCAAATGTTGCATTTGGTCTTGTGAGCACCCTACATTACTGTATACTTAGTGTTAGGGCATTTGTCTATATCATGAAGTCTTATTTGTCTATATTATTAAGTCTTCCCTTTGTGTGAGCTGCATCTTCTGTGTGTTCTTAAACTCTTCATGTGGTGCTTTGAAGTTCTTGAATAATAAGGAATGATGGTAACTTGAAATTGCTATTTTTGCTTTATTAGAATATGATGATGATGACTATGATGCTGATTGTGAAGACATCGATTGCAAGTTAATGCCTCCACCCCCACCACCCCCAATATCAATAAAGAAGGATAAGGACCAGGATGCTATTGCTGATGGTGAGTAGGGCCTGTCTGGTTTTGTCTTAAGTTTCTGTTCATTCATATAGATTTTGTAACACACATAGAGCTATTAAATTAAAAATTGCTAAGGATGAAACTTTGAGGAATGATTTATTCACATCTTTACGTTTTGGCATTGAAATAAAATTATACGTTTAAAGTAGTAAGCAGTATTATCTTCACATACATTCAAGAAAAAGTGGTTCTCAAGCCTAGCTGCCCTTCAAAATCCCCTCAAGTCTTTAAAAAATTTCCAACTGCCATTCCTGGATAGTCTGAATTTAGAAGATTCATTAGAGTAGAGTTCAGAAATTTTGCCCCCAAGTGATTTGCAATGCAAATTATCTATATATTGGTATTTGGGAACTACCTGTTCACAGGGCTCTACTTAAAAAAATAGGTAAACGAGGAAGGCAGCCTAGAATGTGCCTAGAACCAACTTTCAGCTAGATGTTCAGAGGTTACAAAGGTTGATAAGAGTTTTTAGCGATTATTTAATCTGTCCTTGTGCCTGTCAGAGTAACATAAGGTAGAACATTGGGGAAGAGCAACAGTTTTTGTCTTTATAATTCTTCCTATTAGAATTTTTAACCATTTCCTTTTTATTTTGCTGGCTAAATATCATGTTATCTTTGTGTTTTAAGTCTTACTTTAGGATAAACAAATTTTGTTGTTATTTTGTGGGCTAAAAAAATCTACGGTATGTAGATCCCTAAACTGGAAGTGATAGGACCTGACTGTATAAATTAATACACAGTTTTACTATCGGTCACCTTTCTTTAACCTAATACACACTTGTAAAAAGTACTAAGTGTCATAATAGTGTTTGTTTTCTGTCTTCACAACCATAGTGCACAGACTATAAGGTAAGATGAGGATGGTAGGAGATAATGAGTTGAAATGAGTAATCTGGGTGTTTGGGGCAGTATCTGCCATTGAGGCATGGGTCTAAAGCCTAGAGTAAGTATTGGCTGAATTTAAAGAAATATGCTCACAGTTACATGCCACAGGGGTTTCTCTTCCTTATTGCAGTGTCTGAAGATGGAGAAGGCATCATCTTGCCCTCCATCATTGCCCCTTCCTCTTTGGCCTCAGAGAAAGTGGACTTCAGTAGTTCCTCTGATTCAGAGTCTGAGATGGGACCCCAGGAACCAACACATGCAGAATCTGAAGATGGAAAGCTGACTCTACCACTGGCTGGGATTATGCAGCATGATGCCACCAAGCTGTTGCCAAGTGTCACAGAACTTTTCCCAGAATTTCGGCCTGGCAAGGTACTTTCTATGGAAAGTAATTATTTTGCAAATTAACCGCTTCCAAATACTGAGTTGTCTTAAAGGATGATGAATATGGACTAGTTAAAGGTCTAAGCCTATAGGGTCACCATCAGTTTGGTTTGTCTTGAAAGGCTTAAGGGTTTTCTTATTCAGTAACATGTTGACTATAGGAACTTTTAATACTCTTAACAATCTTACTGCCATAGAGTTGATGCCAACTCATAGTGACCCTGTAAGGGTAGGATAGAACTGCCCCTGTGGGTTTCCAAGACTGTAACTCTTTATTGGAGTAGAAAGCCTCATCTTTCTCCTGTGGAGCTGCTGGTTTTTTTGAGTTGTTGACCTTGGGGTTAGCAGCCTGGCTTGTAAGCCTGTATGCCACCAGGGCTCCTTTTAATACTGTATTGTCTTTTTAAAAAATTATATATCTTGATAAATATGATTTATGCTGCTATCTTTAGATAGTATCCTGTTCTTTAAAAGAACTAGTCCAAACTACCGAGGGATACTTTTTTACTTACTTGGTAGATGTTAAAATCTGAGTTAGCATTCTCTCTTCCTTTTCTGGAGTTTAGCTGTTCTATCTGGCACTGAGTTTTTGACAGTAACTTGTTCTATGTTTTAGGTGTTACGTTTTCTACGTCTTTTTGGACCAGGGAAGAATGTCCCATCTGTTTGGCGGAGTGCTCGGAGAAAGAGGAAAAAGAAGCACCGTGAGCTTGTACAGGAAGAACAAATTCAAGAGACAGAATGCTCAGTAGAATCAGAAGTCAACCATAAGTCTTTGTGGAACTATGACTATGCCCCACCACCACCTCCAGAGCAGTGTCTCTCTGATGATGAAGTAGGCAAAATAAAGACCTGAGATTAATCCCTATAAGGGGAACAAATGAGTTACCCCTCACTTATGTCTAATTTAGAAATAATAACAGGGAAAATCCTGTGCTGATTATCAATGAATTATGAGTTCAGTTCAGTGTGCTAACCTTTGTCTATGGTCATAGAAAAGTTAATGGTGGTTGGAGGAGGGTAGAGGGTAGGTGGTACGAAGATTGAGATGTTAAACTGTTTAATGATATACTTCCATTTTCTAATTCTAATGCCCAGTAAAGATTCTTGCTTTAGGAGTCAGCCTTGTGACTGCTCTTAAGTCCCCCTTCTAACATTTAATTTTCTATAGTTTTAGTTCATCTGGGATTGAGAAGCCTTCCCCCTTGTACTTTTCCTCTGTTACAGATCACAATGATGGCTCCAGTGGAGTCCAAGTTTTCCCAATCAACTGGAGATATAGATAAAGTGACAGATAACAAACCAAGAGTGGCTGAGTGGCGTTATGGCCCTGCCCGGCTGTGGTACGATATGCTGGGTGTTCCTGAAGATGGCAGTGGGTTTGATTATGGCTTCAAACTGAAAAAGACAGAACACGATCCTTTGATAAAATGTAAAATGATAGAGGTGAGCAACACTTGGATGTAAGAAGAAATCAGTGGGTCCAAGGCCTATCAATTTTACTAACTTCGATGGGAGAAATTGGGTGCTATTTCTTTGGTGGGACATTTAGATGTCTAATAATTTTGCTTGGTGTGGTATATAAGTGTGGCAACTAGGGTCCCGTTCCAAGGATTCTGTTTATGAAATGAATGTTGTATCATACTAGGAATGCAAGAAGGCAGATATTCCTCCATTATCAGGCACTTCTCAAGGGCCATTTAAGATGTACCTCTTACATGGGGTTAGAAGTAGAAACTGTGACCAGTCAGTATTTACTGTTCCTTCTGTATTTCTGCAGGATTTTAGGATGCTTGATGAATGCAGTAGCACTGATCTCTTGGCTGATGAAAACTTCTTGATGGTGACACAACTGCATTGGGAGGATGATATAATATGGGATGGGGAAGATGTCAAACATAAAGGGACAAAGCCTCAGCGTGCAAGCCTGGCGGGCTGGCTTCCTTCCAGTATGACTAGAAATGCTATGGCTTACAATGTTCAACAAGGTGTGCTTCCATATGAGCTGTGTCCAGAACACTAGCTTACAACTCAGTCCTCCTAAGTAGGCCTAGCTCTGTGATAATTATGGGCTGCTGATGGAGAGTGAAACATTTTGAGTCTGAGCCTTAATTATATGTGTGTGCATTTACTCTATTAATGAGTTAGAATGGACTCAGGATTTTTTCTTATTAGAAAAATTTAAAAGCACTTTGGAGTTAAAGATACGTAAGAACTATATTTCTAGTTTTTACTTTTGTTTTTAAAACCCCTTTACTTTAATATAGAATATTTTTCTCTCCTTAAATGGGTTTAAATAAATAAGGTAAGTCACACTAAATGTAGAAAACTTGAAAAAATACATTAGAGTGTAGTGTGTTTCCTCCTCCCCCCAAACCGTATATGCATACGCGTATCACTAGTAGTTCTCTTATACAGAGATTATCAACTGTTAATTTTGTGGCATATTTCCTTGCAGTCTTCTGTCTTTTTGTGTCTGTGGATAGTTGTTTATTTGTGTATTGATACTTTTTTTTGGTATTCTATGCTTTTCGCTTAGTTTTGGTATTTTTTTGGTATTCTATGCTTTTCGCTTAGTTTTCTATGTCATACAAAGTTCTTTCTATGTCATAAAAAATTAATGTTTAATGACTGGAGACCCATCTGTAGACAATTGGACATCTCACAGAATGGTCACAAGGAGGTGATGCGTCAGCCAGGGTGCAGTATAGCACCGACGACATTCCTCGAGTTTTTTAATGTTCCCCCTACCCTTCACTGTCATGACCTCAGTTCTACCTTACAAATCCGGCTGGACCAGAGCATGTACACTGGTACAGATAAGCGCTTTCAACACGGAATCAGGACAGATAAACTGCCAGGAACAATAATGGGTGTAGTGATACCATGAGAGTAGGGGAAAGGGGGAATCAATCACAATGATTGACGTATAACACACACCCCCTTAGGAACAGACAACAGAAAAGGGGGTTAAAAGAGACTGGATGGTGTAAGATATGAAAATTATAATTTATCAAGGATTCACAAGGGTGGGGGAGGAGGGAAAAAAGTTGGTACCAAGGGCTCAAGTAGAAAGAAAATGTTTTGAAAATGATGATGGCAACATATGTACAAATGTGCTTGATACAGTTAATATATGGATTGCTATAAGACTTGTAAGAGTCCCCAATAAAATGATTTATTAAAAATATTAGTAATTGTAAAAAGTTTAAAGACATGGAAAATATGAAACGGTATATTTGGTAACCCCTGTTTGTGCAAATGAAAAAAACAAACTGCAAACATAGATAACTAAAAAAATATGCTAAAGGATTCAAGGTGGTTATTTCTGGTCTGTAGGATCACAGCTTCAATTTTATTTTTTATATCTTCTGTGTTTTCCAAATTTTCTTCAGTTAACCTGGATTACTTTGCAAGAAAACCAAAACTAGTTTTCAGTAAAATAATTATTTTTCTTTCCAATTTTTCTAAGTACTTTTTAGCTGCATAATCTTGTATTGACATATCATAATTTACTACAAATTGTATTTGTTCATATATTTTACTGCCATTTCTTGTTAGCAATTTTAGCATATCATTTATTACACTATTTAATCAGTCCTTTATTGTTAAAAATTTAGACCATTTAATTTTGACTATTATAAAAAATAATGAAATGAACATATTTGCTACAATCTTTTAAAGTGAGAAATAGCAGTCCATATGGTTTTTTTCAGTAGCTACATGAATAATTACTAACATTTCTGTTCACTCCAATCATGACTGAAGTAGACATAAGTATTTAGTCTGTTATTTAGGGTTTTTTTCTTCTGCTTTGACTAGGGTTTGCAGCTACCCTGGATGATGACAAACCTTGGTACTCCATTTTTCCAATTGATAATGAGGAGCTGGTCTATGGACGTTGGGAAGACAATATTATTTGGGATGCTCAGTCCATGTCCCGGTTGTTGGAGCCTCCTGTTTTGACACTTGATCCCAATGATGAGAACCTCATTTTGGGTATGGTACTGTCAGAGGTCTTTTCCATCTTTAATAGCTTGTTGCTAATTTCAAGGGGTGAGATGAAATCAGAACAGTTGGAGAAAGTCAATACTAGATTAAGGTGACCAGATTTCAATATTGGTAAAGTGGGACACCATTGATAAAACTCATATCCTGGCGAAATAGCCACATGGCAGCCGAAAACCGTATACCCTTGCTTGTCGTGCATTCTTTAAAAAAAATCGGGACTTTTTAAAAATGCCGTGGGCCGCAGGAAAAATTGTTAAAAATCAGGACTGTCCCGCCAAAAGCGGGATGTCTGGTCACCTTAAGTTGTGGCTGTCAGTTTCTGGTATTTGTGGATTATTTAGGGGAAAATACTTTTAAATACAGAAAAGGAACACCTTTGAGATCAGGAGTGTAGTTTGATTAGAGCGAATCATAGAATAGAAGTGATCTCGATTGGGGAGGAACAGAGATCTAGTTAGGTATTAGTTGTAAAGATATGAGGAAAAGTGAATGAATTTTCAGGGAGTGCCATGCCACAGTGACTATTTCATTCTCAGAAATTCCTGATGAGAAGGAAGAAGCTACCTCGAACTCTCCCTCCAAGGAGAGTAAGAAGGAATCATCACTGAAGAAGAGTCGAATTCTCTTAGGAAAAACAGGAGTCATCAAGGAGGAACCACAGCAGGTCTGTGAAGGAAAGGGGGGTCTTGGTGAGTAATAGGAACCAAGAAAGGTACTGGGAAAGGGTAATCTACTAAAGTTTCTCTTATTTAATGATCTATCATTAGAACATGTCTCAGCCAGAAGTGAAAGATCCTTGGAATCTCTCCAATGATGAGTATTACTATCCCAAACAACAGGGTCTTCGAGGCACCTTTGGAGGGAATATTATCCAGGTAAAAGTAGCATCTTTGGGGTGGATCAGGACTCACTGTTTTGTTCTGATGGATATGCCTAGTAAAAATTGCCTAGTCAGAACCTTTACATTTCTTGTTTTTAGCATTCAATTCCTGCTGTGGAATTGCGTCAGCCCTTCTTTCCCACTCACATGGGGCCCATCAAACTCCGGCAGTTCCATCGCCCACCTCTGAAAAAATACTCCTTTGGGGCACTCTCTCAACCAGGTCCCCACTCAGTCCAGCCTTTGTTGAAGCACATCAAAAAGAAGGCCAAGGTATGAATGAATCCTATTTAGGAAGGAAGAAAAGATGAAAATTAAATAGCTATAAAAATAGAAGGTGGTACAAAATGGGGAGATTAACTGTGCATTAAATAATGTTAGAGAATTATTGATTATTTCCTCAGGTAGGATCCAACCCAAACCCTCTGCCAATAAGCTGATTCTTTTTTTTTATTCTTTTTTTTTTTTTAATTCTTATTCTTAGCATATGTAGGGTTTTTTGAGGCAGATAGCTTCAGCTCTCATCCTTGCAGCAATTTGAATCCTTGACCTTGTGGTTAGCAGTTTATTGCTTATCAGGCAGACAGAATATGCTATGGTTATTAGGAGAATGTCCTCTTTAAAATGTGCATGTAAAAATAGGGATAAAGGGTCATAAATAGAACTTTTAAAATAGTGTGGTAAAAACTCTAGAGATATAGTTGAAGATAAACAAGCAAAATAAAGACAGTTGTATATAGGTGGTGGGTTAATATGAGTTCATGATACTAGTTAGTACAGTGTTTACAAAGTGGTGGGGGGTACCACCCTCTGGAGGGCACTGGAACGATCCAAAGGGTTGAAAAAGTAGATAGTTAACACTTTGTCCTCGATTATGGGCTATAGTATAAATGTTTTCAATTGTCACAGGGTGCCAAGTAGTTTAATTTCCTGAAAAGGAGATGGTAGGCCAAATAAGTTTGGGAAACTATATACTGGTATTTGAACTTTATGTTTGAAAATTTCCATAATGAAATTGGTAAAAAGCAAGGTCGAAATGTGTCATCT